GGGGGGGGGGGGGGGGGGGGGGGCTGTGACGTCACATCGGCGGCGTTCTAAATCCGAATGGGCGTGTTTCTTACGCCTTACAGTCGAGAGTCACCCTGTGTTTCTGTCTGGGAAATTGATTCATGTTTATTATTGAAGTAATTATTAATTATTTTCACTGCTTAGTTTTAATGAACCTCGGGCGGCACGCGCTGGAAGTCAGAGCGAAACATTCGGGGAGATGGGCGTGTCTTTCCCTGGAGTGGGCGTGTTTGGGGAGTTTTGGGGCTTTCCTTGTTTTGTAAAGCTTTTGGACAGATTGTCTCACACAGAGTCCCCAGATCCAGCTGTAATCCAGAGCCATGACGGAGGAGCCGGGGCCTGCAGCTGGTAACCGCATTACATGTTTCAGCAGCGAGGTTGTCATGGCAACCAGGTGTATTTCTGCCGCTGACACTATCTCGAAGTAGCTTGTATTCATCAGATGAACGCGTGGAGAGCGCTTGTGCAGCACGCGCCGCCGAGATACACAACTTCATTACACGGAGCAGATCGAGGGAAGCATGACTTTGATTTATTCATTTATTTTCAAAATAACAATTTAAAACGTGCTTAAATAACTAGACTATACACCCATTTACTTCAGAGTTGAAAATGTTGTTTATTGAAAAATATAAGCCGATATATTTAGTAAAATTTTTCAGTTTCACTTTCATTAGGACGTTCTACTTTTTAATTGTGATTTTTGCTACAATGTTCACTAAACAATCGTTTTATGAAAAAGTGAAGAATTAAAAAAAACAACCAAAATTCAAATCAGCATTATTATGTTAGGAATTTGAAGGTGAAACAAGTCTTCCTCAGTCTGATGTCAGCAGAGCACCAGCTGGAGCAGCTCCTACTTCTGAAGTGTTGTTCCTTTACTTTCATACCTAAAGAAATGTTAAACTAATGTTAAGATTTCAGATTTCTGACAAACTTCTCTCTCACACACACACACACTCTCTCTCTGTCTCACACACACACACTCTCTCACACACACACACACACACACACTCTCTCTCTCTCTCTCTCTCACACACACACACACACACTTTAATGCATGCTGCTGGTTTGTTTGTGCTCACAGTTAGTGTTGTACTGTATGTAGAATACACTGTTGGTTTACTACAGTTTGTGTATGAGTGTATTATTCCTCCACTCACTCATTCATTCATTCATTCAAGAAGGACAAATTTCCTTTATCTGAGTCGTTTCCACCCTCTTGCAGGGATTCGTTGCACATTATAAATATAACATATTATAAGTAGGCCTATATTATATTGCATGAGCTAACAGTGTGTTGTGTGTGTGTCCTGTAAGCTCCGACAGCAGACTACAGCGACTACTATGACGTCTATGATGAGACTGGATCAGTGTGTGCAGATGTTTCTTTTCTTTTCTGACAGTTTTGTTAATAATGATGTACTGTGTGTGAAGTAGGAGAATGCAGAAGCTGAAGCTGTTGCAAAGGTGCACATATAACGCATGCATATCGCTCATATTTTCAATATGCCAATGATACAGAAATGAATGATTTCATTAACATCTTTAAATAAACTCACTGTTAGTATTTGCATAAAGCAGTGCTAGGGATAACACATTACAAGTGATGCAAGTTACGTAATCAGATTTTTGAAAGTAACTAGTAAAGTAACGCAGTAATTTTTAATAAAGAGTTAAATATCTGAGTTACTTCTTTCAAATCAGTACCAGCAGTTACTTTGTTTCCATGTGTTGAGTGACAGCTCTGGTGTTGCCACGGTGACAGAAATCAGGAGTGAGTGCAGAGTGTTGTGTGTGAACATGATCTTACTGTAGCTCTAGACTCAATATCAACATGTGTTTACTCATCTCACTGCACACAAACACATGCAGTGCTCCTCACAATCAAATATAATAAAAACAGTCAAATACAAACTCAGAATATGACGCAAACGTGCATTAATTAAATATGTTAAATAACACAAATATACTTTAATCCTATTTTATTAACCGATGTCTTTGCTGCTGACCTTCGATGATCCGATTCAAGCACACTAATAATCAAAAATGACACATTTATTAGTGTTATTGCTGAATAGTGTTGCACTTTCTTCTCCTGCGTCATATTCTTCATGTGTTTGGTTCTCTGCTGTACCTGCAGCCTGAGGCGCACTCATCTCACTTCTGTTGTGAAAGAACTTTTACTTTTGTAGAACCTTTTTATATTAAAAACAAACAAGCAAGCCCCGCACAGATCTAAAAAGTAACTCAAAAGTAACATAACGTATTACTTTCCATAAAAAGTAACATAATTAGTTACTTTTTTAGGGAGTAATGCAATATTGTAATGCATTACTTTTAAAAGTAACTTTCCCCAACACTGACATCAAGTGTTACAATTATTTTTTTTAAGTGTTCTGATGAAATACTGAAGAAAGATTTTTATTAAGTGGCTTTTAATAAAACCTGTGATTCATTACCATTCTTTGGCTGGTGGTATTTATTACACTCTCAGGAAAGAAAAGAAAAGGTACAAAAGCTCTCACTGTGATGGTACCTGAATACCGTCCTTTGTACCTTATTTAGCTCAGAATGGTGCATTTTAGCACCTTAAACCTTCATATTAGTAGCTTTTGAAAGGGTACTGCCCCAGTAACAGCTTCTGAACCTTTGTTTTGAGAGTGTGTTCAAATTAATAAACACTTTCACTGTTACATTAGCTCAAAACTACTTGAATTACTGAGTAATGTTCATTAAAGGGATAGTTCACCCAAAAATGAAAATTCTGTCATTAATTCCTCACCCTCATGTCGTTCCAAACCCGTAACACCTTCGATCATCTAACACATTTTTGGGTGAACTATCCCTTTAACTGCATGTACTTACTATATGGTTAGGGTTCGGGGTTGGCTTTGGTTACTTGCATGTAATTATGAATAATTTATTGTTATTATAATAGTAAGTACATGTAATATGTGTAACAAGGACACCTTAAAATAAAGTGTTACCAAAAGTCCTTGAGGTAGAATTCCTTGAAATGTGAAGGGAATTGAGACGTGTCTGTGTTTAAACAATAGCCTACTTCCACTTTCTGAGACTTCACTTTTTTAGAGTCTCCCATTTTGACTTTAAGAGACTTGTTTGACGTCTCTTATTGTCCCCACAACAAACAGACATTTTAAATATTCATAAGTTTTAATAACAGAAAGGGTTTGAGTAACCCATACTTGGAATCAGTGCTCTGTATTTTACTGCGAACACAAACCAACACACACACATTCTTGCATATGTGGTTTACGGGGACTCTCCATAGCTGTAATGGTTTTCTTCTGTACAAACTGTGTTGTCTATATCACCCTCACACAAAACTACAGGCATTTTTGGATTTAAAAAAAACACTGTTTAGTATGTTTTTTAAGCCATTTGGTTTACAGGGACACATGAAGCGTAAACCTGTTCATGTTGTAGGACCCATGTTATCAAACACACACACACAGATGCACACACACACACACACTCTCTCACACACACACAAACACACACACACACACACACAGAAAACGAGGACTGTTTGTACAAATAATAAGTACAATAAGATTTTTTTCAAATGTAATTAAAAGGAGAAAGAGAGACTAATATGCTGCACAAATGACATCGTATGAACACACACACAAGAATACATCTCCACTTTATAATGTAACTTGAATGTTTGTGTCATTCACTTCCAGTTATTTTATCTGTAAAAAACAGTCCCTTATGCTGTCTGATACTGCACACTGTTGTTGTGATCAGATTATCTGAATGTGTTACAATCATAAGCAGTGGTGCAGCTCAGCTAGTGGTGTTGTTCAGCTGGGAGTGACTGATGAGAGGAGGCTGCACAATCACAGAAACAGCTTCACTTCTGCCATTAAAACAAATATTCACAACATTCTACTAACTTTCATTTTTATTTTAAATAACATTATTTGAACATGTATGATTAATATTCTAAGAACATTAAAATGTCCAGTTTTCTTGCATTCTTTTAAAGTTACACAAGCGCAGTAATCGAGTGTGTCCGCTAGATGGCAGTGCAGCGCTTCAGCCCGCGGCCTTCTCTGCGTCTGACATTCATTACAACACGCTTCATCTGTTCAGAACATGAACACGACTGTGACGCACCAATAAAAACACACGCCGCAGTGCATCTCGGGAAATGGAGTTTTGTGATAGCAATGCGCACATCGGATTTCTTGCAGTTTATTAATATTTCACATTGCACAAAAAGGATGACAGCGACTCGATTTTAGCGACTCTCAGTGTGAATATTAAGTTATAAATACCAACACAAGCACATGTTTAATAGGTTTGAACGACCCAAAATAGCAGGGCGTTACTAGCTCCTATTCTCGCGAGATTTAAGTGAAGAGTCGCGTCTTCTCGCTCTTTTTATTCATGGATATTCAAAAATAATAAAAACAGCATTCCGGTCAGTCAGGGTTGCCAGGTCTTCGCAACAAATCCGCATCCCAGCGGCGAACATGAACATGCATGTCTACGGAAAACATCTACTGGGCATGCGCACATCAATATAGCATCATTTCTGTCACACTGTACAACAATAATGACTGTTTTTGCATTATTGTAAGGGGTAGGTGCAGACGTTAATAAAACACAATCTAATAGATAGAAAACTAAATGTATTGTCAGCTTCCGGTTTTAGCCTGTATCCCTCCGAGCCGGAAGTAGCAGGAAACCCGCGGACTTGGCAACCCTGATGAGGGCGACGCGAACTCTCGTGCGTTTGAGTCTCGCGAGATTTGCCTCGTCCGCTTTCAGACTCCATGACCCGCGCGCCGCGATCGTTCATGACGCCCCTCCGCGCGTCGAGCGGCGCTCGTATCCCCGCTCAGATGGACTAACGAGCGACCCGCGAGGATGGAGAGCGTTAAACTGAAGAAGAGCGGCGCTCCGAGTGCGGCCTTGAGATCCGCCGCCGATGAAGACGACGACGAAGGCCAGGGAGCGTCGAAGCCGCGTCAGAACCGGAGCCCCGCCGAGCTGAGGAAGAGGAGGGTGAGGAGGCACGCGTCGCTGGACCGGCAGAGACACCGAGCCGCCGCTCCGCTGCAGCTGTGCGACCGGCAGTGGGTCCGCCAGGACCTGCGCCGCGGCTCCGTTCACGTCCATGACCGGCTGACGGTGCGGTCGCTCCCGCCGCGGCTCGTGCTGTGCACCGCGGACTGCACCGCGGCCGACATCGCGCAGCGCCTGAGCGGCAAACCGGGCTCGGTCCTGAGGCTCGCCGCCAAGACGGACGTGAACGGGAACTGCGACGGCGACCGGCTGCGGCTGCTGCTGCTGGAGAAGGAGCACCGGTTCCGGTTCGACATCTGCACCGAGCCCCAGGACGAGGACTCCGTCAAACGGTCCGCGGGCTCCGATGTGGAGAGCAGCAGCGACCTGAGCTCCGGGGCCCGGTTCAGCCGGCACCGGGACTCGCTCAGCGACGACATGACCCTGGGTACCGACGCTTCGGCGCTCGAGGGCCTGGACGCGTACGGCAGCTCCTCGGACGAGCTGGAGCTGGACTGTCCGGTAACGGATGGAGCCGAGGCGGGTCCCGCCGGTGACTGGGACTCCGGACCGGCGCTGTACGTTCAGCTGCACGGCGAGGCGGCGCGGCGCCTGGGGCCCGAGGAGAGGCCCCTGCAGCTCCAGAACGACTTCCTCTTCAAGCTGGGGTTTAAGGACCCGTGGCGGGTTCAGGAGGAGGGCATGAACACCGAGCTGGGCTCGCTGCTGCGCTTCTACGCAGGTAAACCGTGTCCGCTTCACGCAGGTGTTTACCTCAGAGTCAGCTGTGCTCGAGCTCACAGTAAGCGCTGCTGAGTGCGGCCCGTGTGCTGCTGGTGCTGCTGGTGCTGCTGGTTCTGCTGGTTCTGCTGGTTCTGCTGGTTCTGCTGGTTCTGCTGGTTCTGCTGGTTGTGCTGGTGCTGGTGCGGGTGCTGCTGC